GCCCCTCGGGCATTTGTAAAACAGTAGTTCTCAGCCCAAAAATATCATTTAGAAATATCATTAAGTTTCAAATCTGAGTAAAATTGGCTGAGTTTGTAAAACAGTGGATATCAACAGGACTGAGTTCAAATAATGCGTCAAAACAGTGATAAAAATCCCCGAAGGGTTCAGATAATTGGCACGAAGCCCAAATATGGCAATCAGCCCAAATCATGATAATAACAAATAAGTTTCAGTCAAATACGCGGTAAAATCATCAATCGGGACGGACCAAGTCACAATCCCTCAACGGTACTCTACCCCACGCTCGCTATCCGGCGTGCAAGTCACCTCAATATAGCACTACAGTGTGCAATCCGGGGTTTCAAACTCTTAGGATATCATTTACAATCATTACTCACCTCGAACCGGCGAAATCTCTAGCTCGCGACGCCTTTGCCTTTCAAATCGGCCTCCACGCGCGTCGAATCTATCCAAAATCAGAGCGAATACATCACAATAGGCTAAGGGAACAATACCCAATCGAAAACAATCGAAAAATATCAAAAACCTCGAAATTAGCAAAACCCGAGCCCCGGGCCCACTTCTCGAAACTCGGAAATTTTCACATCAATACGTTCCTTATCTCCTCACGAGTTCATACATACCAAAATTTCTCAAATCCGACCTCAAATGGTCCTTCAAATCCCCAAATCAAATTTCAAAAATCTCAAGCCCTAGTTTTTCAATTTTAGGCTTAGTTTCCATGAATTTCTAGGTGGATTTCACAATATAATCAAGTTTTAAGACCAAGATTCTTACCTCAAGTTGATTCCTCTTGAATCCCTCTTTCATCTCCTCCAAAAATCTCCAAAAACAAGCAGCCATGGGTCAAAATAGACCCAAAATCGCGAACAAGGTGACTTTAAAACATTCTGCCCAGCTTCAGGATTTTTTTCATCGCGAACGCGGTCAAACTCTCGCGAACGCGTAGCACAAAATTACATTGACCAACTTTTACCTTACGCGAACGCAACGAACCAGATGCGAACGCGATGCCTAATCTGATTAAACCTTCGCGAACGCGGTATCCATCACGCGAACGCGTAGCTTCCACTTGCCATACCATCGCGAACGCGACAACTATATTGCGAACGCGAAACACAAAAGGGCCAGGACCCCAACTGCTCTATTTACACTACGCGAACGCGGGAAACACATCGCGTTCGCGAAACACTCGGGACCTCACCCCTTCGCGGACGCGGGACCAGCATCGCGAACGCGAAGTCAAAATTCATAGCCTCCTCATGCATCCCTTCGCAAACGCGAGAGCCAAAAGTCTGCAACAGAAACTTCATAAAATCTGCAACTTCAAAATACCAACAATGGTCCGATCGACCCTCCGAAACTCACTCGAGGCCATCGGGACCTCAACCAAAAGCACCAACATATCCCAAAACCTCATTCAAACTTGTTCCAATCATCAAAATACCTCCAACAACATCAAATTACTCAAAACACATCGGATTCAAGCCTAAGTTTTCCAAAAACTTCCGAAACACGCATTCGATCAAAAACCCAACCAAACGACGTTCGAATGACCTGAAATTTTGCGCACACATCACAAATCACATAACGAAGCTACAACAACTCTCGGAATTCCATTCTGACTCCCGGATCAAAATCTCACCTATCAACCGAAAATCGCCAAAATACTAACTTCGCCAATTCAAGCCTAATTTTACACCGGACTTCCAAAACCAATTCCGATCACGCTCCTAAGTCATAAATCACCCAGCGAAGCTAACCAAATCATAAAAACTCCGATCCGAGCTCGTGTACCAATAAGTCAACTCTTGGTCAAACCTTTCAAATTCCAAGCTTTCAACTGAAACTGTTCTTTCAAATTCATTCCAAATTTTCCTGAAAACCAAAACCAACGATCTACATTAGTCATAATACATAACACGGGGCAAGTCATGCCCGAGAACTGGCGATCGAAGTGCAAAAGCTCAAAACGACCGGTCGGGTCGTTACACAAGAACTAGAAAAACTGCCAGAAAAGATCTAGATACATTCACAAGCTCTCTCTTCAGTGACACTATACCTATTATGGGAGGTCATTTTCTTTCTAACAATCTCTTGGGTTGTTAAGTGTTTGAGTTCTGATTATAGTGGTAATCTTCATCAAGCGATAAAGCTAAGATGGTATTAATGTTGTTGACTATACTTGACAGTATCAAAAGTTCCCCCTACTCACAATGGAGATGACCCACTACTTCTCGAAGTCAACTAAAAATTGGCTTTCTTGGGCAGAGGTCTGTCTTTTGATGCATTGCAAGCATTTTGAATGATTCTTGTGTTCGTCGTAGTTTTCCTTTTTGGTTACAGGGAAGATATATACTGAAGAATTAGAAACCTTACACATGATCTATAAGCAAGCACCCTATGAGTTATGTCAGTTGATGTCTCCACTAAAACATGCCTTCATAATGGAGGCATTTGTAATAAGAAATCTAGGCTCAGAATGCCCACCATTGTGACGGCTTTTATGTTATACTACATCATGCTTAAAGACCTCAATATGGATGATGTAGGAGGGTGCATGTATATATGTTGAATGTATAGACAGTGGAGCTGCCTTTGCTTCCTCCTCCTCTTCCAACCTTGACTGCATCTTCACTTGTTGGTAAATAACTAACACAATGCAGATTAATTGCTAAACATTGTGGCTATCACAGTTCAAGCGACGTATGATAGGTGTACAACCTATGGACTTTTTATCAGAAACAAAAAGGACAAAAATGATGCATGAAAGTTATTACTTATACATTTTTACCTCATTCTGCTACTTCCAAGTCTAATAACTATTGAAATCAAGCTAAAATATTCGAATATTAAGATGAACTTAAAACACATGTGATCTCTAACTATTAATATCCGTCTGAATTAATTCAAAGATGAGCATAGAAACAATCAGATTCATTCTATCTAGTATTTCGTACTGCTGATTTTTGCTAATCTCTGGCCAGGTAATGAGATTGGTAGATTCTGGGGAATACGAAATCTTTCTACTCCAGTCATAAAATAATGTAGTTAGATCCCTGAAGGCAATATGATGAAGAAAATACCTTAAAAGTAGCTTTCTTCAGTCGGAGTAGCCTATGGAGCAACTCTAACATTTGATGTGTGAAAGAAAAAGAAGAAAATAATAACTCACCTACTTCTTCATCGGGAGATGGCTAAGAGATCTAGACCATGTTGCTAACATCAATTGGAATGTAATGGGTAATGCCATGAGGATACCGTAGATGCTCTGCTATATGAATGGGGTGTAAAGTCCTTAAGCAAGACAGAAGAATGTAGGACACTACTCCTCAAGTGTTTTTTTCTACTCCAAAGGGAGTAATATTATTATCCAATTACCTTCCTCCTCTGAACCTCTTCTTATACATGTAATATGTGAAGTTGTATGGACATTTATGTTTATAGTTTTCAACATTTTCACCAACAAAAATCAACTCATATACTCTCCCTCTATAAGAATCTCCCTGTTGTACTCTTTCAACTTACTAAACTTTCTACTTTACAAAATGGCTTCTTTCCATAGTTACACTCTCTCTATTTCCTACTTCCTAATTTTCTCAATCCTCTTTATCCCTTCACATGGAGCGTTTGTTGAGGAAATTTCTGACATCCTAACCATAAAACGAAGTGAGAAAACGAGCCATCTCCATTTCTACTTCCATGACATTGTCAGTGGAAAAAATCCTTCATCAATCAAAGTCATTTCACCAGGAGGAGATGGAATCTACGGATTTGGAAAAACTTTCATTTTTGATGATGCATTAACAGTAGGGCCTAATGCATCATCTAAGGTTATAGGAATAGCACAGGGGATTTACTCCATCGCTTCGCAGAGTGAGCTTGCCTTGCTTATGGTTTTGACCTTTGAGTTCATTGAAGGCAAGTATGATGGCAGCAGCATAAGTATTCTTGGGAGAAATTCAGTTCCCAGAGATGTTAGGGAGATGCCTATTGTGGGTGGCACTGGCCTGTTTAGGTTTGCTAGAGGTTATGCATTGGCCCATACTTTTAAGTTTGATATAAATAGCGGAGATGCCACTGTTGAATACAATGTGTTTGTTCAACACTATTGAAGTAATTTGAGCATATAAAGTAGCAGTGCCAGGCGCAATTAGTTTCTTTTTCTTTTAGTTATTCCATCCATGGCAAGCTATTAATGTCTTTTTAACTTTATATCGAAAAGTTCTATTCGTATATTTACAAGATTATGTGTCATTTGTTAAGTTAATCTTCTCCCTATCTCTTTCAATGAATCTTCTCCTTTCCCTAATAATTCTAAACCAATTTTTTAAAAGAACATTCTATATGTTCCTTCTCTTTATCTGGTTTGTGTTGCTCAGCTAGTGGTCCAACCCTTGGGCTATCCAATTCTTTCAAAGAAAATTGAATGTTGCGAAAAATGGTCCAACAGATAAGTTCAAGCTGCCTCCTTTTGGTACCCACACAAACAGCCCTTCCCCTGAAAAAAATCATAGAGCCTGTCGAAAGAAGAAACAGTGGATATCCAGAATGGATACAGTTTACTTACATTTATAACATTTAGTTCTTTTACTTCTATACATAATTCGAACTGAAACCAGTAAATTCAACTGCATTGGTTGCTGATCGCGTAGGATCCGTACATGAGGAAAAGTTGCTGATGAGAGCACAAACAGCAAAATGCTTGGTGGTGGTACTGACGACTTGCGATTGACTAAACCACAAGGAACGCAAAGTGCAGTTATTCTTCCCAACATTTCAATGATCTGTCCACTTATTCCTCCATTACTGCATATTATTTGGTTAACCTTCCTGTCTCCATGTATTAATTGGACATATGCACTTGAAATTTATTCCTTTTTTTCTCTTTCACTTCTCTTCATTTCTACTACCTTTGCTACGCAGCTAACCATAAACACAGGAATGAAGGTTGTGACAGCTCAAGAATATTAAGCTTAAATGCAAAACTAATAGTATAACCTTACCAGTTAACTAAAAATCTATTGAATTTCAAGCACAGTAGATAGAAAAAACTGGTCAAATTAGCCAGCGAAACTTGGTAATGGACAAAATCTAATAAGGACGAGGACTACATAGTTTTAGTGTTAGCATACCTGTGGATCAAACTACTTCAAACTAATTTTTTAAGTTGCAAAAAACATTTGTTAGACTGTGCTAAGTAGTCATTCGCTATTTCCTTTCTCCAGGCATTTCTCTATGCTTCCGTACCAATTCCACTGGAAACATAGGCCAGCAACACGTACTATTCCAGCAGCTATCACTTCGACAAATGCCATTAGGAATGATCTTTGAGGAGATAGACCAGCAGTTGCTATGGAAAGCAAGAATCCCTCAAAATTACAGGGGACAGTAAAATTTCCTGATTTAATGCCGTTCAAAGCTATCTTGGCAACTTCGTCAGCTTTCATGGCACCAGAAGAAGCTGCTATTATACTAGTCACCCGTGGCCTTCTTTTGTTCTCTGCAATAACAATGAGACTTTCATAATTGTTGTTCGAACGGGTGAAATATTGAAAAATAGATGGTAAAAGAGTATAACCAAATTTATGCAGACTTAAGCTGATTATCAGTCAGGTAAGCTGAAGCCCCTATCAAGTACATTAAACAATGTGTGCATGCCTCAGAAGCAAGGGCACTAGGAGTATCTAAGATTTCATCTCAAATGCTTGGAATGAGATGTGTGCAACACCGACAGTGATGATAATGTCTCCCAAGGTGCAATATTAGTGCATGCATTATCTCCATGCGCACTTTTCACATTTTTTCTTCTTCTCTCTTCTTTCGGATTGGTAAATAGTAAACTATTACATAAAATAAAAAGAGCACCAAGCAGGTTCACACAAAAAAATGCAGCAACAGGTTACAATGGTTAAATGAGAATAGAGACAAAACTGCAAGACTGAAATATGCAAATAAGAGAAGTATAACAATCTAAAAAGTCATAAATAATGGAACTCCTGAACTCGCATAAGCATGTCAACACCTTGACCACATTCTTCTTACCAAAAAGAAGCAGATGCAATACACATTAAGCTTCAAACTGTTATAGAGCTGTACTATCCAAATAGACCAAACGACACTCCAATGCAGCATTTAACATCCTGTCAGGTTCTAGGAATCCTCATGCCCTTTCAAGAAGATAAAAGGCAGAAACAGATTTTGCATAGCCAATTGAATCATGATAAAATGTACTCCATTTAAAATGTGCAACAGAGACTAAAGAAAAGGATATATAACTAACATATCAATTTAGATTCAGAGGTCGATCTAGCATTTAGAGTTAGTGGTTTCGGAGTGGATATGGTCATATTACATTTTAAAATTTTTACATAGAAAAACATGAAGCAAGCAGAAAGAAATGGGTTTGGTTGACCCACCCCCAACCCAACTGAAGGGCTAGATCTGCCTCTGTTTAGAAACAGCGCTAGAATAACCCAGTTCTTTTTTCTTTTCTTTTTTTGATAAGGTAAAGTTAGACTTGTTTGCTTTGTTGGAAAGAAATCCCAATGCAAAGGTTTATATATGTAACTCTATTAAACAACCACTAACCTACAATCCTTCCGGCATGATGATTTGTTCATAAGAAATAAGATAAAATCAATTTTTAATATTTAAACATGTAGCATATCATTAGTGCATTGTGACATGCAGCAATAACAACCAGAAGAAACAGAGTGGGATGTATTCTCATGTCTAACCTTCAGCAAATCCAGGAGTTTCAGTGTCCGGGGGAAATATTAGTGATACGTGAATATTTTCACCAATAACCTCCTGCTGCAATGCTTCTGCCAGTCCTTTGAGGCCAAACTTACTGGCTGAATAAGCTGTATAACCATATATGCCAACCTAAGACAAAACAAAATACCAAACGAAAACCAAATAAGCTAGGAAGAGACAGAAACATGGTTAAAGTTCATTAATACAATTGTATGGGGAAAGAAATTCTGTTGATTCTATCATATTTTAGCATCACAGACCAAGCTCCACTCTTTCAGGTTATAAACTACTATTTGAAGAAATGTTGCCGGCTAAAGACACAAGTTCTCCCTTAATTATGCCATAATGTTGCATCACGGACACCAATCTCCAGTCTTTCAGGTTAAACTACTATTTGAGGAAGCATTTGCTGAGGCGGATCTTTCAGTTAAACTTTTAACCATGAATACACACATACATGTGAACACAAGGGAAACGAAATTAGTTGTATTGGACGATTGCGATGATCATCTCTAACTTATTTTTCTTTCTTTTTGTCCAAAAATTCCTAGACGAAATAACAAATAAAAATTGCAATAGAGATTAGATATCAATGGGAACAGAAGATGAAATAAGATTCAGATTCAAGAATTGTGTACTAACTAGCATAATGCAAAATCATAAGATTGCCCACACTTTGTGAATTAGTATAGCTGTCACCAAGCATTTCCCTTGGACTTTTGCTATAAATATCAAATCTTATCCTCAATTCTTACACGATAAACTGCAGAAATGGTCGAAGAGAAAGTTTGACAACACAAATTAAGGCAAAAGAGTATAATGCAATCAAGCATGTTCATATAATGCAATTAAGCATGCCCTTGATTTGGTGTAAGCATAGTTGGTAAAGAAATATTCACATCAGGATACGTTAGCTCCTTAATCGTCCTTGTGTCCACAGATATACCCACTTGGCTGCACTGCTAATTTCTTTTAACTCTAAGTTCGGTATAACAGAAAATGTTTTGAGAAAATCATTTTGCGGTGTTTGGTTACCTGACATCTGTGAAAAATGACTGGTATTCTCACTTACTTATATACCTAATAAAACTCCTAAGTAAAATATTTTGGATGAATACATATTTTCCTCCATATCTAACCATCCTAAGAGAGTTTAACCTTTAAACCAGGGGTCTATGAGGTTAGATCAGCATTCAAATTGAAATTGAAACCTGAAACAGAGATATCAAACCTGGCCAGCTTGTGAAGACATGATAGCGATGGATCCAGGTCCACGGCCGCTTCTGTTCTTCATTCCAGGCAAAGCAGCTTTAATCAAATGAAAAGTCCCGGTCAAATTCACATCAATCATGAACTTGATCTCCTCAATATCTTGGGTCTCCAATTCCTGAGGTACAAATACGCCCTGATTGCACACCAACACATCGATCGGCCCTGCATCTTCTATAGCCTTCTTTACGGCCTCGTAGTTTCTGACGTCAGCGCTGAAAATGGCCACGTCACGGCCAGTGGAAAGCCGAATCGCATCCCTCGCTTCCTCGAGCTTGCTAGTGTTGCGAGCGAGGATTGAGACTTTTGATCCCTCTGAAGCAGCCTGTTGAGCTAGCGCTAGCCCAATGCCGCTTGACCCGCCTGTGATGAACACGTGGCGGTTCTTAATTGGCACTTTTACGGGACGTGGTCGGACGATGAAGGCGAGGAAGGCTAAGAGGGATAGAGGGAGGAGGAGAAGGAGGAGGAGAGAGAAAAAAACTAAGCTTAGAGCCGCCATTGACGAAAAGTACAAGATTTCTATCCCGTTAACCAAGATTTTTGGTTAATAATACATGAATTATTTTTAGTTTGGTGAAAATAATTTACATCCCCAAGTTTGCTTTAAAAATTCAAGCTCCAACTTTAAATAATTATCATTATATTACTCATATCAAAGGTGTCTTTTTAAAATGCCTATTTTACCATTTATAATTTTTATCTCTTATTTTTATTCTTTAATATAATAATATTTTTTAAATTTTAATTTATGTCATCGGCTTATCTACAGACAAATTAAAGAAACTTTTTCGAAACAAATAAAAGTGAGAAGTAATAGTCATGCATATAAGTTAATCACGTTCAATAGTAAAATAAATGAAAAAAATAAAAAAAATTATAGTAGTCAAGCATATAAGTTAATGACGTTCAATAGTAAAATAAATGAGAAAAATAAAAAAAATTATAATATATAATTTACTCGTATCAGTAAATTTATCAATATCAATCAAAACAAATTCTATTTTCAAAATTAAGAATAAGCGAGAGTGAAAATTTTATAAATACTGCAGTGTAGGTAATAAAAAAAATAATGGGTGAAAATAGTGGTAAATTTTATAGTAGTAAATTTGTAAAAATTATCTATTTACACTTTACATGAACTGTAATTATAAATTAGACAAAATCTACTGATAACAATTAAAACTCAAAAACTTATATACACATGGAGAATAATAAAAATACTGGAACTTAAAATCACATACACACTAACATACAGTATATATATATATATATATATATATATATATATATATATATATATATATATATATATATATATATATATATANAATAATAATAATAATAATAAATATAATAATAATAATAATAATAATAATAATAATAAAGTAGCAATATACAACAACAACAACATACCCAGTAAAATCCCACTAGTGGGGTCTGGGTAGATAATAGAAAAATGTTTTACATATATGGGTAGTTAAAAATGTCAAGGGTAAATTAAATATTGCATAAGATGAAAGGACGAAAATGATAATTGTTCAAAGTTGAAGGATGAATTTGATTTTTAGAGTAAATTTAAGGGATGTAAATAATTTTCTCTCTTTTAAGTCTGATATAAGTTTCATTTGCAAGACTCGGTTTTATAATATACTTGAGTTTTAAAATCATATCAAATATTTCAAAAATATTACATTCTAATATATATATATATATATATATATATATATATATATATATATATATATATATANTATATATATATATATATATATATATATATATATATATATATATATATAAGGAATAAAGTTTGCATTGTGGTTAAGCCAAGTGGAAAGCTACTATAAAGCCACTTGGCAATCTCAAGGAGAGTTTGTAGGAGATTGTGAAATAAGGAAATATCACTTAAGAATTATATATGGAATTTCATTTATAAAACTTAAATTAAAATAAATTCTTTATTTAAAAATAAAGTTCACCACTGTACTAATATTTTCTAGCTGAATTTTTTTATTTGGAAAGTAAAGAATTTTGATAACAATAGTATTTCGATTTCTTTTCTAATATCGAGTGAGAAGAATATATCCTACCATAATCTAATGTTCAACTTTAATTTTTTTTAAAGAATTTAACATTTTTTAATGCGTTGAAGATAAATATATTTTAAGGGTTTAACCTAAAGTTCAGAATGTAGGTATATTTAATAAATTATTTATTTTATAATGGATAGTCCAAAGTGTCTGTTTTAGACTAAGTTTTCTGAATTTTAAATAAGTATACAATTAAAATAATTTTTTAAAGGCTCAACAAAAATAATATTTACCAAAATTTTACTAATAAAAATACCGTGATATTTTAGTGAAGTACTATATAGTTTGATCATATGCACTTTTATTTTTGTCTATTATTGAATAAAACACTAAATGAAAAAATTAAATAAAATATCATACTTACTAAGGAAATAATTTATTAAGAGGGGGATACAGATAGTGTGCGGGAAATTATACTTTGAATTGATTTAAATGATAAAATAAAGCAAATAAAAATACTCCAAAATATTATGATAAATTCAAAAGAATTATTTTATGAAAGAAGAACTATATTAATTATAGTATATTATAATAGAAGTAGCAGATAAGGATATAAAGTAGATGACAAGCTAATAAAAAGTTACTAAATAATGTAATCATATTAAATAACGGGTAACACAATAACAATAAACAAAGAACAAAAAATAGAGATTTTTTTTTTGTAAACAGATAATATAATTGTAGATATATAGAAGGATTAGACATTTAAATTTGATATGAGAATTTTTTTGAAATTATTACGAGAAAAAACATATTATATAGATAATAACACACAATTGAAAACATAATTGATAGACCTAAAACTTAAAACATGTACAATGAAATAATGCCAAGCAACAAATTAACAATACAATGATGTAATTAAAAATGTCATGTAGTTAAGTAAAAAATTGAAGTCAAAACTCTATATGGAAAACAAATGGAAAAAAAATTTAATTGCTTATTGCAACTAAATAATAATAACTTAAAGTATCATAGGATTTATGACAAAAAATAAAAGAACTTCTTCATTTGAACTTTAGCCTATTTTCAAAAGAATTAGAAAGAAAATACGATAATGTTTATATCATAGATACAACACGGAATATGAAAAAATAATTAAAATATTATATGATAGAAAATAATGTATACAGAGGAGAATAGAAATAATGTGAAGGGATCTACACTTTAAATTTGTTTAGTAAAATAATTAAATAAAAAAATACTATTGATAAATTGAAACAAAAATAGTAGAGCTACAGAACAAAAGGACAAAGTTAAATTAAATTTCAGGAGTAATACAAAACGATATTCATCGTATTATACTAAAAGTAGAGCAATGAGTAAGGAGATTAAGTGTGATGACCCAAAAGGTCATTACTTGTTTTTAAATTAAATTCTGTGTTTCGAGGCCTTAAAAACCTCTTTCAGCATCACCTCGATTTGCGTGCGCAGTCCGGGCGTGTAGCCGGAAGTCTATATGTGAAAATTTGTGAAAAATAATAAAATTTGACTTTAAAATCAATTAAGTTGACTTCGGTCAACATTTTGGGTAAACGGACCCGGACCCGTGATTTGACGATCCCGGAAGGTCCGTAGAAAAATATGGGACTTGAGCGTATGCCCGAAATCGAATTCCGAGGTCCCAAGCCCGAGAAATGAATTTTTGAAAGAAATTATTTTCTGAAAAATGTAAAGGTTTTTGAAAGTGAAATGCTATGTGAAACCCGTGATATCGGGCCCGTATTATGGTATAGGAGCCCGGTACAGGTTCAATATGATATATATGTGTTATCAATAAAATTTGGTAAGAAACGGACTTGAAACGACGTGAATCGGATAGTTATTGAGAAAATTGAAAATTTGAAGTCTTGAGAAAGTTTCATGATTTTGATGCTAAATTCATAGTTGTTGATGTTATTTTAGTGATTTGAATGCACGAGTGAGTCCGTATGATGTTTTTAGGGTGGTGTACATGTTTGGTTTGGAGCCACGAGGGCTCGGGTGAGTTTTGGATAGGCCACGGGGTGAAATTTTGGACTTAAGGAATTGCAGGCCTCCAGGCTTCGCATTTCCCAACCTCCCTTCGCAATTCCCAGCTCGTATTTCCCAACCTCCCTTCGCATTTCCCTGTTCGCATTTCCCAACCTGCCTTCGCAATTGCCGGTTCGCATTTCCCAACCCCCCTTCGCAATTCCCATAACTGCAGCCTACAACTTTTTATACTTAGCCAAAAAACAACCCTTTTTCACATCTTTTCAAAACAAGAACTCCCTAGGGCGATTTTCCAAGAACAACTCTTCTTCCAAATCGATTGTAAGTCAATTTTTACTAGTTTCCTTCAATCATTAACACCTTTTAACATGATTTCAACTCAAAATCAATGATTTTCATGGAGGAAATTGGGTGTTTTGGGTAGAACCTAGGTTTTTCAAAAAATAGAGATTTGGACCTTGATTTGAGGTCCGATTTCAAAACAAATTATATATTTGAGTTCATGGGTGAATGGGTAGTCGGGTTTTGGTTCGAACCTCGGGTTTTGACCATGTGGGCCCGGGGCTGATTTTTGACTTTCTGGGAAAAGCTTTAGAAAACTTATTTCCATACATTAGAAATTGTTTATTTAGCATTCATTAATGTAATTAAGTAACTTGTGACTAGATACGAGCGAATTGGTGGTGGAATCACGAGGTAAAGCTATAGTTGAGGCTTGAACTGAGTTCGTGGTATCGAGGTAAGTGTTTGGTCTAACCTTAGCTTGAGGGATTAAGAGTTGTGTCCTATTTGCTACTTGGTTCTTGTTGAGTACGACGTATAGGCATGGTGACGAGTATCTATACATCGGTGTCGAGCATGACCGTGAGTCTTAAATTGAAATTATTGTGTTATTGAGAACTACTACGAATGTCTAATTTGTTGACTCCCTGTGTTGAGCAAGGTTTATAATTACTCTCGTAGAGATTACTCATGGTTGAGCATTTGTGTTAGTTGAGGTAGTAGATGTTGGAACATGTTTGGTTATAGCTGATTTTCCCTTGCTGGGATGTGTTCATTCTTATTGTTGACTCCCTTGCTGGGATAGTATAGTTCTTATTGATCCCTAGCCGGGACTCTTGTTATGGTTGATGTTGATTGTATATTTGGATCGGGTTGCACGCCGCAACAATGATATAGTTGGATCGGGTTGCACGCCGCAACAATGATATATTTAGGTCGGGTTGCACGCCGCAACAATGATATATTTGGATCGGGTTTCACGCCGCAACAATGATATGTTTGGGTCGGGTTGCACGCCGCAACAATGATATATTTGGACCGGGTTGCACACCACAACAGTGATAAATGATATGGATCGGGTTGCACGCCGCAACAATGTTGTTATATGGTACGGAGACAAGCTTAGTAGAGTCTGAGAGATCGGTACGGAGACGTCTGTATTTATCCCCCAGAGGCTACAGAGTTAGGAAAAAACTTCACATCTATTCTTTCCTG